GCCACTGAATTCTTCGTAAAAAGTTGCCCATATAATGTTTTATTTATAATACTCCATCTTTGATAATAAGTGAGATATTCGCGATTGTCGTTTTCGCAAAATTTTCAGTTTTTGCCGATAGGGCGAAAACAAAAGACGATAGCTGTGCGGAGTTTTCGGCATTAGCATTTTCTCGAAAAACGAGATCATGACATGTAAGCTTCTTTTTTTCTATCTCTTTTAGTTTCGGAGATAGCCTATGCGGACATCGAAATTGGGACACCCTGTACAATAAATATTAATATCAGTTACATAAGAAAATTTTCCAGAAAAATTAATTTAAAGTTTCATTATTTCCCATTCATGATATAAAAAATAGTAGTAGCCGTGCGTAACCATGGCAACCAATTGTTTTGATTTGACATTTCCAAGTGTCAAAATTCAATTTGAAACATTTTGAGTAGTATTATGGAGTTTCTTGTGTTAATTGTTGTTATTCCTTGTTATTCATTGTTATTTGTTGCTATTCATCGCTATTCGTTGTTATTTGATCTTATTGTTTTTTTGCGGAAAAAAATTAAAATATACACCAAAAAATTGTAAAAAATTTAAATCTTTAAACCCGTTTCAACGATTTTTTCATAACTTGTTTATAATAATTTTATCGAATTTATCTGTTACTTTTGAAACGCAGTGTATAGTGGTTAATTAATTACCGTACCCCACGTCATCATTGTAAGTATGCAACCAATATCACAGTATTGGTATTGCAATACGCGATTTGCGTATTAACTTAACACATTGTATTTTCACAGCACATTTGGTTCTAACGCATATTTTCGGGTGAAATACGGTTGTTTCTTAGGTTTTCGCCGCACAACGACTAAAATGTCGTTGTTTACCATCTGTAAACTAAAGATAACCTAAAATCTATACCTCTTTAAACGTTACATTCGGATCCACCTAATTTACTGATTTATTTCAGAATTTTGTGTAGAAATTCCACTTTGGGTTAGGTTAATTAATATTTAAACCAGTACGAATATCAGGTTGGGCATATAGCAGAGGGTGGGTTGGGTTAAACCGATACTTTCTAGTTCTAGGTCTAGTGTTAGTTCTAATTTTACACTATCACTAGAACTAACACAAGATCCAGAATCTAGAATCATTTTTTAATTCATAATAATTTTTTTAAATTTTAATAATACAATTTTTTAATTCTTGGTTTAGTGTTAGTTCTAGTGACAGTGGTAGGTAGCGCTAGTTAGCATAAGATATCACTATGTTGCATTTTTCTATTGCACTTAACTAGAACTAACATTAGACCTAGAACTAGAAATATTCGGGTTTAACCTTGCGTCACGAAACGTGACGTCACATCGAAACTTTAATGTGATTTTTCGGTATGTTTTACACTTTTCCGCACTTTCGTTATATTTTTAACGTGTCTTTTAGGTAATTTCAAATTGATTAAAAAAAATCGTCGATTTTTAAGTTACATGATGATTCTTGAATTTTTCCAATTACAACTAAAAACAATTATATTTGATTTAGTGCTGGGACTTATAATATTCAAGAAGCTGAAGGTGTTCAACCAGGAACAAAAATAATGATTTATTTAAAACCTGATTGTCGCGAATTCGCCGATAACGATACGATTAAAAATATCATTCAAAAATACAGTAATTTCGTGGGAAGTCCGATTTATTTAAACGGCACAAAAGAAAATATCGTACAACCTTTATGGTTAATGGACCCAAAATCAGTTACCCCACAACAACACGGAGAATTTTATAGATTTATTAGCAACAGTTTTGATTTACCGAGATATACTTTACATTATAACGCCGATGTTCCTATTTCAATTCATGCTTTGTTATATTTTCCGGAGGGAAAACCAGGTTTATTTGAAATGTCGAGAGAAACCGAAACCGGCGTAGCTTTATATTCGAAAAAAATCTTAATTAGAAACCGTACAGATAACATCCTTCCAAAATGGTTAAGATTCGTGAAAGGCGTTGTTGATTCGGAAGACATTCCATTAAATTTAAGCCGAGAATTATTACAAAATAGTCCTTTAATCCGCAAATTAACGACCGTTTTAAAAACACGTGTATTAAGATTTTTGCTCGACCAATCGAAGAAGAAACCCGAAGAATACGAGAAATTTTACGCCGATTACGGTTTATTTTTGAAAGAGGGGATAATTGTTAATCACGATCAACAAGAAAAAGAGGAAATCGCTAAATTATTACGATTTGAATCGTCGCATATGCAAGGCGGGGTAAAAGTTGGCTTACAAGATTATATTTCAAGAATTAAAGATGGTGGAAAATTAATTTTTTATTTAGCAGCACCTAGGTAAGAAAAAAATGTTTTGGATAATTACAAAGGTTTTCACTAGAGGTGTTAATTAAACAAAAACTTTAAGTAATACTAGATCTACAAGAACTAGAAACATTCGGGTTTAGCTGCACATCTCTCAAGATGGCTAAACCCAAATGATTCTAGTTCTAGATCTAGTGTTAGTTCTAATGCTAGTATTAGTTCTAATTTTAGTTGTTATTCAGTGTCAAATTGTTGTATATTTAGATTGAATCAAAACTAGAACTAATATTAGACCTAGATGAACTTGAATCATTCGAGTTTAGCCGTCTTGAGAGACATGCAGCTAAAATAGTTTAGTTGTTATTCAGTGCGNAGGGCCGGTTTATCAATGTCGAGTTAAATCTGTTAGATACGCAACTCATGGATAAACTTGCCTAACAGATAACCTCAGTGAACCGTTTATCCAGCAACTTTCTATCCGACAGGCAACAACCTTCGAGATAGAACATAGATGGTACCCCTGAGTGTTAACATGAGAAACGGAAATGAAACGTAATTGGTGAAATTTGAATAATTGACTTTAGTTTATGAAGTTGATATAAACAGCTGATCGTGTTTTGGAGATTATCATTTCTGTGTGCTTTCGGTATTGCGCTTTGTTTTCGAAAACCTCTTTTATAATGGAATTCCTACATGAATATTTATTAGACAGCGATAAAGATGAGGATATTGTCCAACTCTTAAATTATAAACGACGACCATATATTATAAAAGAAAGACAAAAGTCAAAACCACTTTAGGGAGTTGGACGACCACGTTTTTTTGTTAGAATTCGGGTAAAAAAGGACACAGTTTTGTCAATCTTGGTTAAAATTAAGACGAGATTATACTATATTAGATTATAGATTATATTATTTTTTTTTTAATTACTAGATTATTTATTTTCTATAACATTTTTACATTTGTTTGCCAAATCCATCAGCAAGTTCTTTTCTGCAGTACTAAAATTTGATGATCATTTCTTTCTCTTCCTTATCCATCACCACAATTATAAGCTTAATTTATTTTTTAACGTTATATTTTGATATCCTTTTACCAAACTTGTGCTCACATTTTTTTGACAATATCTAATAGGTAAACCCTTAACCAGCACTTCAATCTGGTGGGTACCCAAATGTCATATTTATCTATAAGATTACCCTAAACTACGGGTGGATAAGCGATTCGTCACGTTATCTATCAGCTACAATTTTAATTCACAGATAAATCGTCTTAACTAGATATTGATAAACCGGCCCTTAAACTAGAACTAACATTAGACCTAGAACTAAAAATATTCGGGTTTAACCTTGCGTCACGAAACGTGACGTCACATCGAAACTTTAATGTGATTTTTCGGTGTGTTTTACACTTTTCCGCACTTTCGTTATATTTTTAACGTGTCTTTTAGGTCATTTCAAATTGATTAAAAAAAAATCGTCGATTTTTAAGTTACATGATGATTCTTGAATTTTTCCAATTACAACTAAAAACAATTATATTTGATTTAGTGCTGGGACTTATAATATTCAAGAAGCTGAAGGTGTTCAACCAGGAACAAAAATAATGATTTATTTAAAACCTGATTGTCGCGAATTCGCCGATAACGATACGATTAAAAATATCATTCAAAAATACAGTAATTTCGTGGGAAGTCCGATTTATTTAAACGGCACAAAAGAAAATATCGTACAACCTTTATGGTTAATGGACCCAAAATCAGTTACCCCACAACAACACGGAGAATTTTATAGATTTATTAGCAACAGTTTTGATTTACCGAGATATACTTTACATTATAACGCCGATGTTCCTATTTCAATTCATGCTTTGTTATATTTTCCGGAGGGAAAACCAGGTTTATTTGAAATGTCGAGAGAAACCGAAACCGGCGTAGCTTTATATTCGAAAAAAATCTTAATTAGAAACCGTACAGATAACATCCTTCCAAAATGGTTAAGATTCGTGAAAGGCGTTGTTGATTCGGAAGACATTCCATTAAATTTAAGCCGAGAATTATTACAAAATAGTCCTTTAATCCGCAAATTAACGACCGTTTTAAAAACACGTGTATTAAGATTTTTGCTCGACCAATCGAAGAAGAAACCCGAAGAATACGAGAAATTTTACGCCGATTACGGTTTATTTTTGAAAGAGGGGATAATTGTTAATCACGATCAACAAGAAAAAGAGGAAATCGCTAAATTATTACGATTTGAATCGTCGCATATGCAAGGCGGGGTAAAAGTTGGCTTACAAGATTATATTTCAAGAATTAAAGATGGTGGAAAATTAATTTTTTATTTAGCAGCACCTAGGTAAGAAAAAAATGTTTTGGATAATTACAAAGGTTTTCACTAGAGGTGTTAATTAAACAAAAACTTTAAGTAATACTAGATCTACAAGAACTAGAAACATTCGGGTTTAGCTGCACATCTCTCAAGATGGCTAAACCCAAATGATTCTAGTTCTAGATCTAGTGTTAGTTCTAATGCTAGTATTAGTTCTAATTTTAGTTGTTATTCAGTGTCAAATTGTTGTATATTTAGATTGAATCAAAACTAGAACTAATATTAGACCTAGATGAACTTGAATCATTCGGGTTTAGCCGTCTTGAGAGACATGCGGCTAAAATAGTTTAGTTGTTATTCAGTGCGAGGTTGATGTATGTTCTTATTGAACTAACACTGAACCTAGAAATAGAAAGTATTGGGTTTAGCCGTACGTCTTCAGGCGCTAGTCTAGTATTCTAGTTTTATTTTAATGAAAAATATACAACAATCTAACGCTGAATAGCAACTAAAACTAGAACTAACACTGGCATTAGAATTAACACTAGAACTAGACACGTTCGGGTTTAGGCCTCCGGCGACGCAATTACACAGCATATGTTCAGCCGTTTCTGACTCGTCGTTGTAAAGTCGACAAGTTTGATCCTCAGCTTGCCCAATGTGGAAGAGGTTATTTAAGGGGTGCATGGCCGGTCAGGTAACCTGAGCATCCTTAGATCCCCTTTGCTGAGGCATAAAACCTCTTGGGGTTTGTTTTGCGACGGAGTTATCATACTCTCCGCTTGTCTGTAACCTGGAACTTCTTTCCATCATAAGGCTACCTTTGAGGCCTCCCTGTTGATTATTTGTTTTAGGCGGCTTATTTGTAGTCCACAACCGGGTTGGGGTCCAATGAAGTGCGTTTTCGCTGCCTCTCTGGCCAGCTTGTCCGCCTTCTCATTGCTTTCAACGTTTCTGTGACCTGGAACCCACCATAGAGTAACATCCTAGCGAGTTTGCTGGTACATTCTCTGATCAGTGCGGAGACACACGTGTAGGCCGGAATTGCCTTTAGGGCGGCCCGACTGTCGGTGGTAATGTTTATGGATGCACCTTTCTGTCCCTTTTATAGTTTTATATTTTATCCCTTTTATATTCAAAGCGGTGCAGAAGTTTATAGCAAGAACTTCTGCTTGAAAAATGGTTATGTCCGAGCTGAGGGGCAGTTTAATGTGGCTATTTGGTCTGCTGATGCCCATGCCTACTCCGGATCCAACTGTCTTTGAAGCATCGGTGTTCCAGGCTATGGCTGCTCTTTTCAGTTGAGGCCCACCCTTCGTCCAATCATCTCTGCTTCTAAACATGGCCTTACAGGGCTGATCGAAATTGTATTCTGTCGGTATAAGGTCTGGTTTAATTTCAATCAAGTGATTTAGTAGACATAGGTCCTTGAGGATTTCGAGGTACCCTGCATCAGCTTGAGTGAAGAGCATGTTGTATATACAGGGTGTATCTGAATGACTGCCACAAACTTCAAGAGGTGATTTTTTAGTGAATTTTAAGGGTACTTTGATGTATGAACCATTGGCGACTTCGGCTCCCCTAAGGAGCTACACCCCTCCAAACATGCCATTTTGTGGAGGGATGTTTCATGGTTCATATATCAAAGTATCCTTAAAATTCACTAAAGAATCACCCTGTATAGTGTGTCCCAGGATAGATGTTACAACAGGTATAATGACCTAAACATTTTTGAATTTTATTTTGAGGATGGGGAATTAAGCTCTGCTTAGTGTGGAATTTTCATATTTTTAAAATCAACTCGGCCTTGACAGTGAAGCGATATCTATTTTTAGTTCAGGTGAAGTAGGCTTTTTGTTTATGATACGGCAAAATTTCATTAAGAAAAGTTGTTTAGAATGAGAAATTATGGCACTATGCAAAATTTCAGAAAGATCTATCTACAGTGATTAAACCACCATATTTTAGATTAGATCACAGTTAAGAAAAACAATGAAAAATGGTAGTGAATCATCAATTACCTNTTATGGATGCACCTCTCTGTCCCTTTTATAGTTTTATATTTTATCCCTTTTATATTCAAAGCGGTGCAGAAGTTTATAGCAAGAACTTCTGCTTGAAAAATGGTTATGTCCGAGCTGAGGGGCAGTTTAATGTGGCTATTTGGTCTGCTGATGCCCATGCCTACTCCGGATCCAACTGTCTTTGAAGCATCGGTGTTCCAGGCTATGGCTGCTCTTTTCAGTTGAGGCCCACCCTTCGTGCAATCATCTCTGCTTCTAAACATGGCCTTACAGGGCTGATCGAAATTGTATTCTGTCGGTATAAGGTCTGGTTTAATTTCAATCAAGTGATTTAGTAGACATAGGTCCTTGAGGATTTCGAGGTACCCTGCATCAGCTTGAGTGAAGAGCATGTTGTTATTACAGGGTGTATCTGAATTACTGCAACAAACTTCAAGAGGTGATTTTTTAGTGAATTTTAAGGGTACTTTGGCGACTTCGGCTCCCCTAAGGAGTTACATCCCTCCAAACATGCCATTTTGTGGAGGGATGTTTCATGGTTCATATATCAAAGTATTCTTAAAATTCACTAAAGAATCACCCTGTATAGTGTGTCCCAGGATAGATGTTACAACAGGTATAATGACCTAAACATTTTTGAATTTTATTTTGAGGATGGGGAATTAAGCTCTGCTTAGTGTGGAATTTTCATATTTTGAAAATCAACTCGGCCTTGACAGTGAAGCGATATCTATTTTTAGTTCAGGTAAAGTAGGCTTTTTGTTTATGATACGGCAAAATTTCATTAAGAAAAGTTGTTCAGAATGAAAAATTATGGCACTATGCAAAATTTCAGAAAGATCTATCTACAGTGATTAAACCACCATATTTTAGATTAGATCACAGTTAAGAAAAACAATGAAAAATGGTAGTGAATCATCAATTACCTATTTCATCCCTTTGAGGAGAAATAAAGTTAATCTAATTACTTGTATGCCTTGGGATCGGCGTTTGAACGCCTACCACCTTTAGGTATCAAGACCACCCATATTTTACTCCATAATGTAGGTATTCTTATAGCTAAAGCTGTAGCTTGCTATATATATATAGGGATATTATTACTGGGAGCAGGTCTTCTATGCCTTTTTGCAGAAAAATAGGCAGAATTCCATCCCTCCAGACGATTTTGAATTCTTAAAATTAGAAATAGCCCACCTTACTCTGTTGGGTGTGAAAATGTTCTCAGCTATGCTGCGAACCTTACCTGATGGACGGATTATATCCATTACTTCAGGACCGGCATCCACATGAGGGCAGACTTTTGAGACTTTCCATTGTGTTTGCATAGGTGGCCTAGATCAGTGTTATGGTCTTTCGCCAAGATCTTGTGCAGGCGAGCAACTGTAGGCGTATTTTCTATGCCTTCACAGAAGCTGCGCCAAGTTTTTCTTTTGGCTTTACGGATAGCCAAGTTATACTCCGTTAGGGCTTTTCTATAGACGTCCCATGTTTGCTCGAATTTGGAACGCCTGATTTTATTATACAGGGTGTGTCAAATGTCTATAATATAGCGAATAACTTCGCCATTTGTGATTTTAAAGAAAAATGTTTTAAATACAAGTTACTTTATTAATCGTTACACATTTTTTGGCCATATTTGCTTGTTTGTATTGTTTTTTGTTTCGTTGCTATGGCAACCAACATTCTTAAATGGGATGCATATATTCTTTTTGCATACTTTGATAGAGGATAAATCTCTCTATGCAATGAACATATCAAATCATATGGTTGTATAAGAAAAAAATACGTTTTCTGAAAATATGCAGTCAGCAAATTACAATCAAAGTAACCGCCGAAATAACGCCGTTGACAGCTTTAAATGACAAAAAAATAACAGTTTCAATAATTATGAATAATTAATAATGTATGGGTACGGTGACACACATTTTATGTAGTTTCGTCATTGCTAGCTGTCTTCAACCGTCTACTTTTTTGGAAGGTTCTTAACACTTCCTATGTTAAAGAATTTTTTTAATATTTTAGATACTGTGGATTGTGTAATTTGTGTATCCGCGTAAATACTGTTGAACAGTGTACGAACTTCACTTTGAGTGCGTTATCTATCACCATACTCATACATCAGTAATGTTTGGATTCTTTGTCGTTCGCTTAATTGCGCCATATTTGTTTAAACTGTCAATTTTTTGACATTTGAAACTGTCGTTATTTCGGCGCCTACTTTGATTACTGCCTGATTTAATGTTTTCAGAGAACGCATTATTTCTCGATTTTTTTCTTATACAACCATATGATTTCATATGTTCATCGCGTAGAGGGATTTAACTTCTACTAAAATAAGCAAAAAATACATATGCATTCCATTTAAAATAACAATGTTGGTTGCCATAGCAACGAAACAGAAGACCATGTAAACAAGCAATTATCGCCAAAAAATGCCCCACAATTAATAAAAAAATTTTTATTTGAAATATTTTTCTATAAAACCACAAATGACGAAGTTATTGGCTATATTCCAGACATGCTGTATAGTCTTCTAACCATGATTCGCAGTTGCTCACGGTCCTTATTCTTAATATTAATTAATATTATTATTAATAAAAATAAAATTCACCGTGGCCCCGGATGACCTCGCATCTCAAATGGACCGTTTACAAGATTTCTCCGTAATTCACGAATAGTTATTCCAAATATGTCCATACCGACAACACTGTCAGCAAGTCTCATGACTCCACGCATCGGCGAATAAAAGTGATAATTCGACCCCCCCTCCCATGCATCTATTCTGGAGTGAATTATGTTATGCAAAAAGTATTCGCTCAATTACATCACAATGTATCCTGTAGTACAGAGGCCACACTACGCTAGCGTACTCCAAATGTGGTCTCACATACGCGTTAAACAATTTTATTAATGATGTCGTTTTGAATTGAAGTGAATTGCGCAATATGTAACCTAACATTCGATTACCCTGCTTCACACAATGCAAAATATGGTCCCTGAAAGTCAATTGAGTCTTCTTCTTGAAAAAGTCTTTTTTTTCTCCAATGAAGAATTTTTAATATTATGGAGGAATTCAACTGGACTTCTGGTTCTGGCGAAAGACACATAAAAGCATTTATTTATTTTCAACTCCAATAAGTTATTATTCGTCCACACGGTCACCGAATTAATGTCTTCCTGCAACAGAAGGCAATCCCTAACGCAGGAGACAGGGCTGAAAACTTTAAAATCGTCCGCAAATACCAAACATTTGCTATGACGAATACATTCTGGTAAATCATTGATAAAAATTAGGAACAGCAATGGTCCCAAATTAGAGCCCTGGGGTACCCCAGAAGTGGCAGTATATATGCGAGACTTACAATTATTAAACACCACATGCTGTTCTCGCATACACAAATATGAGGACATGACCCCAAGCAAGTGATTCGACAATCCCAACCTTCCCAATTTCCTCATCAATGTATCATGATGAACTGTGTCAAACACCTTCGCAAAATCCGTATAAACGACGAAATCCGTATACGATGTGTGGTATTGTTTAGTTGAAAAGAGGCTATTTCAAGATCCTTTCTACTTTCAATGTTTGTTTTGATTTCGTCGACCTCTTCGCTGATGTGTCTACAAAAACAGCACCAATCAGCGAGTGAGGACAATGACAAAGCGTATATATTGCGATTTGCGAACTTAGTCGACTCATGGCTAGGCTTATGTCTAGCACCTCTTGTTGACTCTTGGTAACAAAAGTCGGTTCGTTACCTCTGTTGAAGATATCTAAATTTGTACTCTGTAAGTATTGGTAAAGGTACTCACCCCTTTTGTTTGTGTCTGAGCTGTTCCATGCGAGATGGTGTGAGTTCGCATCGCAGCCCTGGAGGAGTTGTTTATCCCACTTATTGCAGTAGTTTATGAGTTCTTTCACCTTCTTTGACTGTGGATCGTCCGATTCAAAGAGAAAGTATGCCGAGGCTATAATCGCCTCTTGCACTGCAACCAGATCCTTGGCAACTGGTTTAAAGACAGGCAGTTTAGGGAGGATTTAACGAGTATCGCTGCTTTCGCAGGGCACTCTCCTCTGTGATAGATTAACTTATCTACTTTTGTTGTTAGTTTTCTGACTATATCTCCATATACATATGGCTCTTGGACCAGCGCAACATGTATGTTGGAGCTGTGGAAGCCCTTGACCAGCACGTCGAAGGCGTTTTGACAATGCTGGATGTTGGCTTGAATGAACCCTACTCTCGCCATTACTTTTTGGCGGATACAGTTTTGGGAACGGCAGTTTTGGCCCTTACCCTTCTTTTCGGACCTTACCTTTCCTGTACCATTCTTGAGGTCCTTGGAGGTTACGGAAGTTTCTGGCTTCGGTTCGGGTTCTTTCTTCCTTCGACGTACGGGTAAACCCGAATGTTTCTAGTTTTAGGTTTAGTTCTATAATTGTTATTAAGTACCAAAGTATTGCATATTTTAGTAATTCAATCTCGTTTCTGAAGAAATTTGCAACAAAGCATCCAAACGTCAAATAATTCTTCAAATGATGCACCGCTTTACCCGAAAATTTCTAAATTTAGCATTAATTTTACTTTTAAATTATTATTTAGTTATGAATTAATTAATCTTTTAGTCGAGTTTTGGCTGAATCATCGCCTTACTACGAATCTCTAAAATCGCGCAACCAAGAAGTTTTATTCTGTTATGAACCTTACGATGAATTGGTGTTAATGACACTTCAACAATTTAATGGTTATAAAGTAGTTTCTGCAGAAAAAGATATGCGCGATGATAAAAAAGCGGCGGATTTAACGAATTTAGGCGCTGATAGTTTGAAGCGGAGTGAAATTGATAGTCTAACGAAATGGATAAAAGCTCAGTTGAACGGAAGAGCAAGTAGTGTTAGCGCTACTAATAGGCTTGAAAATCACCCTTGTGTAGTCACCGTTGAAGAAATGGCAGCTGCGAGACATTTTATTAGAACGCAAAGTCATCAAGTACCGGAAGATAAACGCTATGCTTTGTTGCAACCTCAATTTGAGATTAATCCAAAGTAAGTGTTCAAATTAAAAAAAAAAACTTGTTTAATTTTTTATTTTTAGGCACCCAATCATTAAAAAATTACATAAATTATCGCAATCTGATATAGAATTAGCCAGTTTATTAGCAAAACAGTTATTTGCAAACGCAATGGTTGGTGCAGGACTTGTTGATGATCCAAGATTGATTCTAACCTCAATGAATGAACTCTTAACGAAATGTTTAGAGAAATATTAATTTGCTTAAAATTTATAGTTTTTTTTTTCTAAGTGATGTTTTTGTATATATAGTTTTTTGAAAATAATTAGTCAATAATAACATTTATTTATTTATTTTATTTTAACAATACATTTTGTTCAACTTGATGATGTCAATTTCACTCATCACTTCCGCTAATCCAAGATGACCAATCCATGCATCGTTCTAAAAGACATTAAAAATAATTTAAAATTAAAATATTAATTATAGGGATAATTGGACCGCGTTATGCATCACTTGACTAAGCGACAAATGAACAATGTTGAGAAAAACGGGATTTTCGTTTTCATCTCTCTACAAATATGACTTCTCAGAATAGACAGGCTCAAACTATTGAAAATTGTTTGGTGCCTATCTATTTTTATCACAGAACACTGATGATAACCATTACAAGCACAGAATCCGCTTGGTCAGTTGTTTTGCGATTATACAGGATGTTTCTGTAAGTCGTGGCATAAATTTAATCACAAATACTAGAGTCAAAATGATGTTTGTGCAAAAATTTTTGAAGAAAATTATCTAGAGTTTGATTTTGTACTTTTCAACTGGTTTCTATTTTATATAGAAGTTAAGTATAACTAGTTTCGGCCCTTGACAACCTTCAGAGACTACAAATAATATACAATGATGCCTCGCATAAAGAACGCCTCGCACAGCGAACGCTGCACACAACGAACTTCCTGTTCGTTCATTTCATGATTCATACAACGAACTTCGCTTCACACAACGAAGTCGCCCGAGCTTCGCGGAGGCGCTGCAGGCAGTCGTTAGTCANCTAGTTTGTATAAAAATTCAATATATTCAGGTTTCTTGCGTGTAAATAAGAGATCTGTTGGGACCGGAAACTAAATTTTAAAACGCCATGAGGGTTTGTTTGCACAGGCCGTAATTATTTTTTAGGAGTTATTTACGATTAGTTTTTATGAGTAGGTAATCCTTGGAGGATTTCGGGGTATATTTAGAATACGGTTGTCAATATATAAGTTTAGAGATCAGCGTTACAGTCATTGTGTAAAGTGTCGTTGGAGCGAAAAGAAGTCGATTTATTCAAAAGTTTTTGTGTTGAAAAAAATATTGAGTGTGTTAAAATATAACAAGTGTTAAAATATAATAGATAAATGACGGCAGCACCAAAAATATTATCTAAAAGTGACATTGAAAACAACATTCAAGGACTATTTGATAAACCGCAAAAAGAAGAAGATAGTGATTTGAGTGATGAAGAAATTGAAGTGAATAATTTTGACAGCGCATCTGAAGAGGATAATTCTTCTGAAGAGGATGAAGAAAGCATTGAGACATGTATTGAAGATTTTTATGTTGGAAAAGACAATGTCAGCATGTGGAAAAGAACAAAATACGCAAAATCAAGTCGAACTAAAAATATTAACATAATAAAAGATGTTTCAGGTCCTACTTGTGGTGTAAAAAATCTTAGTGAATTAGAACTATTTCAAAAAATTATCGATAGTATAATGCTTGAAAATATTGTGGCACATACAAATACTTATATAGAATCTCTGAGATCAAATCGTGATTACACACGAAGCAGAGATATCAAAGATACCAACATAAACGAATTATTGGCTTATTTGGGAATACTTTTCTTAATAGGTATTAAAAAGTCACGTTTTGCCAATGTAAAAGAAATTTGGAGCAGTGATGGAACAGGCATTCAAATTGTTAGAGCAGTGATGAGCTACAAACGATTTTTGTTTTTAACTCGATCTCTCCGCTTTGATGATAAAGTTACAAGAGTGGATAGGCGTAAAACTGACAAATTGGCAGCAATTCGGTGTTTTTTCGAGAAATTTCTAGAAAACAGCGCGTTTCAAGTTAGGTGAATTCGTCACAATAGGCGAAATGTTGCATCTTTTCCGAGGTAGATGTGCATGGATACAATATATGCCAAACAAACCCGCTAAATATGGGATAAAAATATATGCACTTTGCTACGCGAAAACGTTTTATACATACAACATAGAAATTTATTGCGGCAAGCAACGAGATGGTTTGTATATGGTATCTAACAAACCGATGGATATTGTAAAACGATTAGTAAAACCAATAGAAAATTCAAACAGAAATGAAATTACTACTGTCAACTATTATACCAGCGTAGCTCTAGCAGATTATTTACTACAGAAGAAATTAACACTGAATAAAAAAGAATAAACGAGAAATCCCTTCAGCATTTTTAACAAATAAAATGTGTGTTTTTTAATAACCTTATACTTATTAATGCGAACCCGTTGTCATAAAATGTATGATTTTATAACATAAGCGGGCGCATATGTTATAAAATCGAGCGCGCTCGCTCGAAAATTGATACGGACCTGTGTTATAAATTTTATACACAGCGCGCCCGCTCGTGTTACAAAATCGAGCGCGCCCGCTCGAAGGTTAACAATACATTTTGTTCAACTTGATGATGTCAATTTCACTCATCACTTCCGCTAATCCAAGATGACCAATCCATGCATCGTTCTAAAAGACATTAAAAATAATTTAAAAAATTCGAGTATTAATTATAGTGATAATTGGACCGCGTTATGCATCACTTGACTAAGCGACAAACAGTGTTGAGAAAAACGGGATTTTCGTTTTAATCTCTCTAAAAATATGACATCTCAGAATAGACAGGCTCAAACTATTGAAAATTGTTTGGTGCCTATCTATTTTTATCACTTGGCCAGTCGTTTTACGATTATACAGGTGTTTCTGTAAGTCGTGGCATAAATTTAATCACAAATACTAGAATCAAAATGATGTTTGTGTAAAAATGTTTGAAGAACATTATCTAGAGTTTGATTTTGTACTTTTCAACTGGTTTCTATTTTATATAGAAGTTAAGTCTAACTAGTTTCGGCCCTTGACAACCTTCAGAGACTACAAATAATATAATATAAATACAAGTTGTAGCGTGAACTAGATGGCGTTAGGTGTATAAACAATTAGAAGAAAACCAGTTCGTAAAATGGTGCAAGTAAGAACAAGTCGCTAGATGACCTCGGCGTGGTAAACGCAAATAAGAATCGCAAAAACGCAATAACAATCAGTGACAAGTATCCTATGCCCAGGATTGAAGACTTATTACATCAAGCGAAAAACAGAAAATATATGACAACATTGGACATGCGTGCGGGATATCACCAGGTGAAGGTACGTGAGTGCGATAGAGACAAAACAGCTTTTACAACCCCGTTCGGTATTTTCCGGTACATCGGTATGAGTTTTGGACTTAAAAACGCGCCCGCGACTTTTCAGAGACTGATCGATAGTTTTCGCGCAGGTTTACCGCATGTGACAATGTTAGCTTATTTGGACGATTTAATAATTCTTTCAGAAACATTCGAACAACATATGTCAGATTTATGCGATGTATTTAAAAGACTTAAAATGTACAATTTGAAACTCAATCGGGAGAAGAGTATTTTCGCGTGTGCTACTGTCAAATATTTGAGTCATTTGATTACTTCGAATGGTATTTCTGTCAATCCTGAAAAGGTTAATGCCATCACTCAGATGCCTGAGCCAAGAAATTTGAAGCACCTAGTTTCTTTCGTACAGACTTGTGCATGGTATCGAAGGTTTATACCTGAATTTGCAAACATCGCAAAACCTTTAACGAATTTGATGAAAAAGAGCGCTTCTTGGACGTGGGATGATTCTCAGAGGAAAGCTTTTGAAACACTGAAGAGTTTGCTCACCTCAGCACCGGTACTACGTCAAGCGGATGAAAGCAAACCATTCACATTAAATACAGATGCAAGTGATTATGCAATTGGAGCCGTGTTACTCCAAGGAGAAGGCAATGATGAACGACCAGTTGAATATTCCAGCCGATTGTTGACAGCTGCCGAAAGAAACTACACCACAACAGAACGAGCAGCTTTAGCTGTAGTCTGGGCAGTAAATCTTTTCGAGGGTACATCGAATGTTCTGAAATACATGTGAAGACTGATCATCAATCTCTTCGATGGCTTATGGGATTGAAATCGCCAAGTGGGCCCTTCAATTACAATCATTCAATCTTAAAATATCCTACATTCCTTGAAAGGCGAATCAGATTGCTGATACTCTTTCGAGACCTAACTGTACAGATGAAAATTCCACTACATGTAGTGTATGTACAATAACTGTTGATCTAAAAGGGTATAGTTTAGAAAAATTACGGTCTGATCAATTAGCAGATCCAGAGTTGGATAAGATTGTCAAGTCCTTTGAAACTGTTCCTACGAATGAAGACTACGTTCACTTTACTGGAAAAGGTTATTTAATGAACAATGGAGTTCTATATCGTTATTCTCCAGAATCGGACGAAGAAGAAGCACAATACGTAGTGCCATCACAATGCAGAGTCGAAATCATGAGGGAATACCATGATGATGCGACCGCAGGACACTATGGATCCGAGAAAACCATTGAACGAGTAGCGAAAAGGTACTATTGGCCTGGAATGAGACGATACATCCAGAACTATATAAAGGCATGTGTTCCCTGCCAAAAGTACAAACCAACCAATTTAAAACCAGCAGGGTTATTGCAAACCCCTACTTACAACCGAAGATTTGAAGTATTGTCTATTGACCTATTTGGACCATTACCCGAAACAGCGAAAGAAAATCGATGGATTTTTATTATCGAGGATACTTCTACAAAATGGATTGAACTTTTCCCAATGAAAGAAGCAACAGCCGTCTCGTGTGCTCGACTTTTGGTGGAAGAAGTATTTCTGAGATATGGCTTACCAAGACGAGTTCTTAGTGATAATGGTGTGCAATTTGTTTCCGAGGTAATGCAGCAAACAATGTATATACTAGATGTCAAGCAGACTTTGAATCCTGTATATCATCCTGAAGCAAACCCAGTAGAAAGAAAAAACCGTGATTTAAAACCACAATTGGCTATCTTAGTGGGAAATGATCACACAACATGGGATGAGGGACTCCCACAGATTCGATTTGCGATGAATACAGCAACATGTTCCACAACAAAATATTCTGCAGCCTATTTGACGTTTGGACGAGAATTGCGGACTTT